TGTTGGTGAGTTCGTTCTGTTGTGTGCGTGTTGGTGAGTTCGTTCTGTTGTGTGCGTGTTGGTGAGTTCGTTCTGTTGTGTGCGTGTTGGTGAGTTAGTTCAGTTGTGTGCGTGTTAGTGACTTCGTTCTGTTGTGTGCGTGTTGGTGAGTTAGTTCTGTTGTGTGCGTGTTGGTGAGTTCGTTCTGTTGTGTGCGTGTTGGTGAGTTAGTTCAGTTGTGTGCGTGTTAGTGAGTTCATTCTGTTGTGTGCGTGTTGGTGAGTTCGTTCTGTTGTGTGCGTGTCGGTGAGTTCGTTCTGTTGTGTGCGTGTTGGTGAGTTAGTTCTGTTGTGTGCGTGTTGGTGAGTTCGTTCTGTTGTGTGCGTGTTGGTGAGTTAGTTCAGTTGTGTGCGTGTTGGTGAGTTCTTTCTGTTGTGTGCGTGTTGGTGAGTTCTTTCTGTTGTGTGCGTGTTGGTGAGTTCCTTATGTTGTGTGCGTGTTGGTGAGTTTGTTCAGTTGTGTGCGTGTTGGCGATGATTCATGATCAATATCAGCACTGCACATGCAGTATTATATATATATATATATATATATATATATATATATATATATATATATATATATATATATATATATATATATATATATATAGTCCATGCTGAAGGATTGGTTTTAAAATAAGGCTTTACAGTATAGCTGGTATTCAGAGGTGGCTTGGCTTATGGTTTTAAAAAAGTTTAAGTAAAGAAGTGTATGCTATCAGCCGTGTTTTCAACAGGGTTAGTGTAAGGTTAACGTGTGTAGCGACTAGCGTTAAAATGTCCAGTCTGATGCATTCATCATGGTACATCCAAGACAAGTTTAACATGAATATTACGAAATGAACACAACACGAAATTCTGAAATACATTTTACATATATTCTAAGTATATATGAAAGAACAATCTCAGACAGATGCATGTTTTCCTGTTAATTACCCCCACCCCGTCATCTCTCCCACCGGAAATCATCTCCCACCCCCTTATCACTGTGATATTTGTCTGGCTCATGCTTTAGGCGGTATCACCTGAACCACACCACTGAAGTAGATACACAGTAAGCTACAGCACCCTAGGGAGGCTTTGTGATGTAATGATGAGATATGCATGATATATCTCAGATACGCTTGATATATCTCAGATATGCATAATGTATCTCGGATACGCATTGAAATATCAAGGTCTTTGCCAGATAATTTAGAGCTTGCAAAGTTCTAAGAAAAGATAAAATACATCGGGGTATATTATTCATGAAATAATTATGTTTCTGTTGAATAAATTAGGTATCGGGTCAATAATATTTGAAATAGTTGAATTACATTTGTTTTGGGTCAGTTATATTGTGACGGATCAGTTGCATTTTTTCACGGATTAGTTTTATTTGCTAAGAGTCACTAAACATGTTTATTTTAAAAAAGAAATTAAAAAAAGGTTTTCACATTTGCAAAAAAAAAAATTATTTATACGAGAAATTATATTCAAGAGCAATGTTTTGTAAAAGGATAACTAATAATGGTTAAACATTTCTTTTCATTATAGTTTTTTTTTAACCATTAATTTTTTATTTAATTACAAAAATAAATCAGTACAGTCGACTGAATTCTTCCCTCTAAAAGTATGATTAGTTGTACATGTTTATACTGTCTTTTTTTTAAAATTCAAATTTAAGTGAGCATCATGAGCTTTCTTGTTAGAAAATTTTTTTTATTAAAAGAAAGAAAAAATTTGAACAGAAATAATAGTCCACAATGTAATAAGCTATGTTATAGTTAATTTACGCTGGTTTAACACAGTAGTACACTTTTATTATATTGTACAATAATCAATCTTGCAATGCTGAAAATTTGTTTTCCAATGTCAGGTTTACACTTTTTCTCTGATGAGGGTTCTCAATGAGGTCTGAAGAGGCTGTATTACTGTACTGAAGGCTTTTTCCAGTAGTAGATGCACCACCCAAGGTAGGAAAATCTTCTTCACTATTGACATTTGGTGCCTCTTTTTTCTTACCAGATGAAGGGAAATTAGGTGTATTTACTGAAGAATGAGCTGTGTGTCTTTGTGCAGGAGGAACATATTTTGCAGGAGCGTTAGGCGTTGTTTCTTCCCTATCTGGCTCATGATGGTGGATTTGTAATTGGACTGGAGCTGTTGTTGAAAGTGTGTTTGATTTATTCCATGGCCCAGATGCCCCATCTCGTCTGTCCTTGTTATCTCTATCATCATCATCACCATTGTCGATAGAATCTGCTGCTTCCCTATCATCCTGTTCTTTAGTTATCTGCAAATTTTGAATGCGGAGACCTGAGTAGTCTTTTTCTTTTTCTTCCTCAAAATCTTTCCATTCCTCATCCTCCTGTTGATTTGTCACACGATCAATTTATTTTTAAAGATGTTTCAACCGTTTTTAAAAAATGTATTAATAGTCATTCAGTTAAATATTAGTATTTTGTTATTAAATCGTTGCTTCTGAATATTTTGTTTCCGCTTTTAGCGCTGTACAACAATTTTTCATGCTTCTATTTTTTTTAATTATTTAAAAATAATGTACTTGTCCCAGTTCTAGGACAGTCCATTTATTTTCCATGTTACCGCGTTAATCTTGCTCGTATAGCGGCTAAAAAATCCCAGTTTCCTGTCTTTTATTTCTGTGTATTATATCGGTAGCCGCCCCTTCGGACTGTTATTGCTCATGTGACACCTTAGTGTTGCCATTTATCCGCGTCCCAGCGTCCCACTGATGGCTCTCAGATAACAGTTGCATTTAGTCATCAAGCAAGATCCGCATGTCAGATAACTCCTCTTAACCCATCTTAGATAACTCCTCCTTACCCACCCCTCCATGTTAGTTTGCGCCTCAAAACCCACCTCTTCATGTTAGATAACGCATCTTAACCCACGTAAGATAACTCGTCTTAACCCAAGGTAGATAACTCTCTTAACCCAAGTTAGATAACTCCTCTTAACCCAAGTTAGATAACTCCTCCTTACCCACCCTCCATGTTAGTTTGCGCCTCAAAACCCACCTCTTCATGTTAGATAACGCATCTTAACCCATGTAAGATAACTCGTCTTAACCCAAGGTAGATAACTCTCTTAACCCAAGTTAGATAACTCCTCTTAACCCAAGTTAGATAACTCCTCCTTACCCACCCCTCCATGTTAGTTTGCGCCTCAAAACCCACCTCTTCATGTTAGATAACGCATCTTAACCCATGTAAGATAACTCGTCTTAACCCAAGGTAGATAACTCTCTTAACCCAAGTTAGATAACTCCTCTTAACCCAAGTTAGATAACTCCTCTTAACCCAAGTTAGATAACTCCCTCTTAACCCAAGTTAGATAACTGCTTCTACCCAAGTTAGGTAACTCCTCTTAACAAAAGTTAGATAACTTCTCTTAACACCTATTAGATAACCCCTCCTCACCCGTGCTAGATAACTCCTCCTAACACATCCCTTCCAGTAGGATAAATCCTCATACCCCACCATCCAAGTTAGATAACTCCTCCTAACCCATCCATTCAAGCTAGATAACTCCTACTAACCCAACTCTACATGTTAGATAACTCTTCACGAGCCCATCCCTCCAACGTATTTAAACTTGTCATAAAACTGGGGTTCTGAGTGTGAAATGGTTCGATGAACGCGAAAATTTTGATTGCGAGTGATTTAGATAAGAGGAAAATATATTTATGCGTGCTTCGTCTGTTTGAAAAATTTAATTTCTTAACGAAATCACAGTGTATTTTTTTTTATTGTTACTCAAAACGGGGCTATTAAACTAACCTTTCTTTGAAATTATCATTAACGCTGTTCTTATTTTATATTGTTCTTATTTTAACTTAAAAAAAAAAAGAACTACACAAGCCGAGTATTCCTAGCTCACTTTATTCTTCTGTCAAATATTTTAATGGTCCAAATAAAAATCTATCTTCTACCTCTCTAAACACACCACAAGTATGTACAGTTCAAGAAGAATACTCTTAACGTCTATACTGTTTATAATATCGCTAACGGCTCTCAGACAGGTAAGTGGGTATATACAGATGGGTAATACGTCTTTAGTGGTACCCTCTAGTACTATAACCACTTAACCCAGGGCTGATTCGTATACATATATATTTCTAGGGGGTGTGGGAGGGGTGGCTAGAGTTACAGTCAAGAGGAAGGGAGATGGGTATCTGCACCGTTATACCTAATATAGTTCCAATATGCATGCGCAGTTATAAAAAGACTACAATTCTTCTTATAACAGTTTTACAATATACCTATACATATAGTCCATTTAGATAAACTTTAATGTTGTCCCACTACTTCTACACACTTCCCCTTTAAGACCATCCTAAATCTTATCTCAATATGTATACACAAAAATTTCCTTTTATTACTACATTAAATACTAATTTTTTATCTCCAATTACAGCCTTTGAAGATTAACTTAACTGTTCTCCGAATATACTTTCTGTAGACCGCCTTATAAGTAATTTAAATACAATCCCAGCTTCTCTACGTAACCCCTTATGGACTAACTTCACTTCTAATATCAATAGATTCATCACTTTAGGATTAAATCAAATCAAATAATATTCAAATAGGCCATTCCGACATGAAACACGTTTCAAGACTAATTCGATTTTATCCAAGTATTCGAGTCCAATTGTATCCAAATAACCCTATACATATCAAATTAGAAATAAATCAAGATGTTATCTGAATATACTTTCATGGACTCCTTTAAGATTCTCTTAAATTATATTCTAATGTATATATATATATATATATATATATATATATATATATATATATATATATATATATATATATATCCCTTTAAGGCTGAATGAAATGTTATAGGCCTACTAATGCACTAAACATACCCCTATAAGAATGACTCATAGTATTTCAATACGTCTAACATACAATGCACGAAGACAGCCCCTGAGTAAAAGACTGCCAGACACACAATAGAGCTGAGCTGACTCACCCAAAATGACTCGAGGCAAGAGCACTCCGACCAGCGTTGTTACAGTTAGGACCACTGTGATATGTAGATTCTGGAGGTCGAATGTCATTTCCGTCAATTCAGCGGATAACGAACATGGTATTGTTTCCGTGTCATTTGCTTCACATTGTGCTGATAGTTCAAGGTCGTTTACGGCATCCTATGGAGGGAGAGAAACATCAAGATGTTAGATACACTACGAGAGAGGGGTTAGTTAAAATAACACATGATGCACAGAGATGGGTTAGATAAAATAACACATATTGCACTCACAGAGATGGGTTAGTTAAAATAACACATGATGCATTCACAGAGATTGGTTAGTTAAAATAACACATGATGCATTCACAGAGATGGGCTAGTTAAAATAAAACATGATGCATTCACAGAGATGGGTTAGTTAAAATAATACATAATGCACACATAGAGATGGGTTAGTTAAAATAACACATGATGCACACATAGAGATGGGTTAGTTAAAATAACACATGATGCACACATAGAGATGGGTTAGTTAAAATAACACATGATGCACACATAGAGATGGGTTAGTTAAAATAACACATGATGCACACATAGAGATGGGTTAGTTAAAATAACACATGATGCACACATAGAGATGGGTTAGTTAAAATAACAATGACTATTGCCGTAATGGAAATGATTTGAGTTTGGTAATTAACTAACTATGATTGATGGTAACTACTCAAATCTGATGATGGTAATTAACCAAATCTGGTTATGGTAATTAACCAAATCATCATAAACCAAACAATAAACTCACCGTTAATGTATTTTCTAATTCGTCTATAATATCCAAGCTTACCTCAAACCGGATATAAGAACGTTAATAAGGCAGGGTGTATCATAAGGAAATAGCTATTTCATCGTACTGCAGTTTTGAATCAACGAATTGATTCACTGAAATTGTTATTGGCCTATCGTGTTATGCTAAGACTACATTTTGATGTGAGTTTGACAAATAAGAATAAGTTACCTTTAGCAAAGCCTTGAAATATGTGTCTTTGATAGTTTTGTCCTTAAGATATTTTCCGTAAGATATATGTCATTGAGTTATAATGCCTTCAAATATTTGTCATTACAATATTTGTATTTAAGATATTTATGCCTGAAATATATATTTTGACATCTTTGTCCCTGTGATGTTTCCCGGTCATTCCTTAATAGTCAGACATACACTTAAATATAAAAAAAAAAAATTCATCCCATAGTCTGAGTGAGAAAATTCCCCAGACAAACTTGAACAATATTCTTCCATTATAACGTGTTACAAATTTCCCCCCCCCCCCCCTCCTATTTCTTCAGCTTGACACCATTACAAAACCCCACTTTGTCCTATCGACGATGAGCGACCCCCATGTTTTGTGGAGACAATCCATTACCCTCGAGAAGATGACGGTGGAACCTAGTCAAGCCTGGGTTTAACTTTATTTTCTTGCTCTAGCGCTTTATGCCCCAAGTTTTTTGGTGTGGGGATGGGGTGTGTGGGGAGGGGGGGGGGGGTAACGTGCATACAACGGACAAAATGAAGTGCTGTTTAAAAAACTAAGGATTTTATATTTTTAAATGCAGTTTTTGGCACGTTTTTAAAAAAAATTGTTTTACCAATCTTAGTATGGGAAAAAACATTAATAAATACACGTCTTTAAGCAGTGGTGTCGCTAAGTCAGGTATCACCCGGTGCGGTAGCCGATGATGTCCTGCCCCCCCCCCCCCCCCCTCCAACAATTTTTGCATTTTCAGTTTGATGGCACCCCTCTTCCATTACTATTTTTTATATTATCTTAACTGTATAACAGATAGTTTTGACAGTATATTTTACGATTTTGTCGTGGCTGTTTAACCCTGTGAGTATAAAAAAAAGGGATAAGTAGTATAACCAGTGGATTAATATAACGGTATGGAGTGACTAGATTGAAATGTGAACTACGTACACCTAATTTAAAGCATCCGCCAAATAAAGACAATGTTGTAGTTCCAACATGAAATTGTGAAAGTCGACAAAAACAGACGTAGAACAGACGTAAAACAGAACCTATACATCATTGTTTAATAAACTTCTACATGCCATTATTAAATAGACTCCCACAAAACATTTCGAGAGAAACTCCTACACGCCATTGTTAAACAAACTCCTACACAACTTTGTTAAATAAACTCCTACACAACATTTCAATAAACTCCTACACACCATTGTTAAATAAACTCTTATTTGCCATTGTTAAATAAACTCCTACGCCACTGTGTCCACCTATTTTCATCCCAGCCCCCACAGATCCCAGCCCCCACAGATCCCAGCCCCCACAGATCCCAGCCCCCACAGACCCCGGCCTGCGACGTTGCAACATTTCAATTCCTCCAGGTCTCCGCTGGTCTGTCTGCGTCTGTTTAAGGTCACGTGAGCTCCGAAGACCTTAACCCGAGGCTTTTGACGCTAAACGTGTTCTGCTGACTCGGGAGCTGGTCGAAAATTGGATATTTATCCCCAGTATTAGCATCCAGACCCGTAAATGTGAACTATGTTACGGGCAAGCGGAAAGTTAAAAAAAAATTCTTGATCGCCAATACAAGATGAAAAAAAATGTATTTCTGCACAGACGTGGAATTTTATACGTATATCAACATGCGTTGATTTATTGTGTCTGTTTCAAACGTTTTTTTATACATATTTTCCTTTGATAATTATTTATGTTTGTTAGGGTTTGCTAACACTTGTTAACACTTGTTTAGTTTATTTAGTCTTATCACTTACTGTTTAAAACTTTAAGGAAACTCACATATGTTGTTGATTATTAACGCAAAGTAGCCTATAAATCAATCGCATGACGATTTAGAGTTCAATATTGTAAAACAAATAAGAGGTAAAAGTTGAATCGCTAAAGTATTGTTGTAACTTGATTGTTAAAAATGTAAGCATGTATCGTTTTTATAATGCAACCTCGTATGTTCTAACCCTCAAAGAAGCAGCTCATGGTCTAGACTCTAGACTAATCCTCATAAAACAAGTTTCAATTCGTAGACTAAGCCTCTTGGAAATAGTTGGTCGATCGGCCTAAGCCCACCAGAGGAAGTTTGAGGTCATAGACCGCTGCCACATACAAGCACTGTGACACCTTTACCTCACACTTCCTGGAAAATAATTAATTTGAAGGTGGGCGCGGAAAGCATGCTGTCCAAGAAATCAAGATATTTTCTTTCTAAAATATCATAAGACATTTAGGGCTAAGTTTTAATGTCCAGACGAGAATTCTGACAAAATATTGTATCAAAACTCCAGAGTTACGTGGTCACAAGTGTCAGTCTGATGGGTTACCGTTCTTTAGCTGGTTCCATCCTTTATCCCTAATCTTTACGTCATCTCTATCTAAATTCTTCCCAGATCATGCTAACCTCCCCTTCGCTGACATGTATATTACGTCCCTTTATCTACATCAGATACTTAAATTTATTTTTGTGCTGAATGAATCATAGAAAAAAAAATTAGAGAAAATAAAAAAATCCCAATGCCTGCGTCTTCCTAAAAATTCCAAGATTCTACGTAAACCCACCAGATCTTTAAAAAAAATATGTCCCTAACCCAGCCCGACTGGACAATTTTCACCCGTTTTAAAAATTCATGTACGGTCGACTAGATTTCAATGGCGTACTGGTTATTTACGCCTGCGCGAATCGCATCATATATCCCGTAGCTTAGCGCGACATTTAACGGTTACAGTTGAGTTCGTCGGTCGCTCGATTCTTCAAGTCATGAGTCAAGGGGGGGGGGGGGGGTGTGACGAAGATAAAAATTATTTGAAGGAGGAAAAATTTGCAACCAAATATAGTTAAAGAATACAATGAGGAATTATGGATTTAGGTTGATCAAATTTTAGACAAGATCTAAAAACTGGAAACTAACATTCCCATTATTATGGAATCTAATTAAGAAAAAATAATATTTTGAACCTGGTGGTCTAACTGGAACATGTTGTGGTTTACCTGATTTTGTGACCTCAGCATATGAAAGGATAGACTGACCGCTCTATGTCCAGTCGCATAAACTTTCTCCTAACATCAGACAACCATATGAAAACTAACCTTTGTATGACAACAGGTATTCTGACTACAGACCCCTGTCAGACAATACAGACCCCTGTAAGACAACAGACCCCTGTAAGACAACAGACCCCTGTAAGACAACAGACCCCTGTAAGACAACAGACCCCTGTAAGACAACAGACCCATGTAAGATAACAGACCCCTGTTAGACAACAGACCCCTGTAAGACAACAGACCCCTGTTAGACAACAGACCCCTGTAAGACAATAGACTCATGTAAGACAACAGACCCCTGGAAGATTACAGACCCATGTAAGACAACAGACCCCTGTAAGACAACAGATCCCTGTAAGACAACAGACCCCTGTAAGATAACAGACCCCTGTTAGACAACAGACCCCTGTAAGACAACAGACCCCTGTTAGACAACAGACCCCTGTAAGACAATAGACTCATGTAAGACAACAGACCCCTGGAAGATTACAGACCCCTGTAAGACAACAGACCCCTGTAAGACAACAGACCCCTGTAAGACAACAGACCCATGTCAGACACCAGCCATCTTTTGTCAAACTTTAATGAGAAATGTAGGCCTGTTAAGTTTTTCAGTTGTTCTTTTGTTAGACAAGGTTCAGATTTCAGACTGCCTGTCATGTTTTGTTGTCCACCCCACCCCTCATGTACTTGTTCACTCCCCCACCCCTCATGTCCTCCTTGATTCCCCCACCCCTCATCTTCTTGTTGACTCCCCCTCCCTCTAAGCCAACACGTCTCTCAAAGCCAAACCATTTCCAAGCAACTGCGAATTATATAATTCAATTATCAAGAAAAAAAAGTTTCAAAGGCTTTAAAACGGACGCACCCATTAAGTTTTATAGATAAATCCCCCCCCGAAGGCTGGAAATTAAAAAAAAATTAATTAAAATAATTTTTTTGGTGGTTCGAAATGTGATCAACGCCATATCCGTTGATTCATGTGGTCTTGCTATGCACAAACACTTTTAGAATGAAAAGAATGCGAGTTCAATGTCCAAGTCTAGAATAATTAATTAATAATTATATCCGGAATTATTTTATTGTACATTTTATAGGTATATATTC